AGTCGTGAGTGTGTGTGTGTGTGTTACAATTCGTATCTTAACTTGTAATTAGACGGCGTTTCTGGGGGCTCGTCAGGTTTTGTGCAGTGTGGCAGGGCTGTTAGTTTACATTCGACAGAAAGAAACTCGTAATAGTAAACATTAGAATCAAAGTAAAACAATATTTAAACAAATATATCTATGTAATATTTAGAGGGGAATGTTTATATGACGAGTCCCAGTAAACTCACTAGTGAAGGGGACTGTACACTTGCAAAACAACCTACCCAGCCTTCGTCTCTTATATAATAAACTATTTAAGATGATTAGACTATAAATTAAAAATATATAAGATTACATTCACGATTTAACCTTGGTCTCTACTGCATATACAGTAAAATACACTGTTTAAGATAAGGTGACTGAGCCTTCGTACCCCCCGTTGCGCGACGTAGGTTGGGTTCAGTTGGAATTGGTAACTTATGTATCTACCCAAACTTTTAAAACCACCACTCTCTGTAGTCGGCTTGAATAATTCTATAAAAAAGTTGTTGTTCATGCTTAAATCGTCAGCATGTGTTTGGGAATTATCTAAAATTTTATCCATTACTTATTCTTGTTTACTGCAATGACGTAATTATTTATTCTTGAGTCTTTGTAACACTTACCGCAGGTCTGGAAATAAAAAATCACAGCGAACAATTCATATCACCGACTACGCTGCCGTCACACACACAACGGTATCATCAGTTCTATGCTTGTGGCACTTCCTTATAAATATTGTGACGTCTATCATTATGCAGGGTGGTCCAAAAATCCGTATCAAAATTCCTGCTCCTGACCCAGGACCACACACCCCAGCAGGGGCATCTGATGACTCTGTACCTACCGTGAGGGAAGCACATGCACTGCCCGTCCTGCCTCAGACGCCGCCCCGGCCCAGCAGTAACCCCTGCTGCTTCTCCTGACGCGGCCCCTGCTCCTGAGTGCGGACCCACACACCCCTCTTTTCTCCCTCAGGTACTCCCTGCTGCTGTCGTGGACCCAGCTGCTGTCACGAGCCCTCATCCGCTTCTGCTGACGCAGCCCCTGCTCCTGACCCAAGCCCACACACCCCAGCAGGCGCATCTGACGACTCTGTACCTGCCGTGAGGGAAGCACAACATTCATCGCCTCCACACACCCTTTTTCTCCCTCTCTACTCCCACAGATATTGTGTATCTAGACAGTTGTCTCTAGCGACCGGCTCATCCACGCCATCGCCGTTGTCTCACATGAGGCATGCACCGCCCGTTCTGCCTCACATGTGCTATGCAACCCTGCAGACAACAAGTCTCCTACACCGCCTGGAGGGAAGGAGGGAGTATTGTAGTGGATTTCTCCCCTACAAACGCTGTTTGTCGCTGCATAGCCGACCCCACGAATTCCCCAGTGTATGCCTCGAGGTCTAAGTCAACCAGCACCGCCCACGGAGCGGGGGTCAACTACTAAGCCACGCCTACCCCCCGCTATTTAAGACCTGACCTCGTGGTGATCTCTCTCTTTTCTACCTACACCAACCAGCCAGCAACACCTCCACCTCCTCCGCCTGCCTGGCGGTCCTCGATCCCGCCGGCGAGCATGGCGACCTACAGGCTGGTCCTCCTCGAGCATCCTCACCAACCAACTCTCTTCTTCTAGCTACAGCCGCAGCAAGCTACACCACCTTCTCCGCCGCTGCCTGGCGACCCTCGCTCCCGCCGGCGAGCATGGCGACCCACAAGCTGTCCTCCTCTGAGCATCCTCACCAACCAGCTCTCTCTACATCACGCTTGTAACCACGCTGCCACTACCCAGCACCAAGCTGCATTGTACATCCAATACAACATGTATACAGAGAGCACATCGTGAGTTTCCTTTCTCCATCCCATCCTGAGTGTGAACCAAACATCTCGTACCCCACAGGGTCACCTTACCTTATGACCTGATTATGGTGGACACCTGCTGTCCCTAGAAATTTGATCTCCTTAACTGTATACAGTGGTCCCTCGGTTAACGAGCACAATCCGTTCTAGAAGGTTGCTCATTAACCGAAACCATTGTTTCAATGGGTTTTTGGGTAATTGGTTCCAGCTCACCGAAAATTACATAAACTGAAAATAAATGCAGTGAAGTACACTTACTTTGAGGTGTGCATGTAGAAGGCTCCTGGTTGATGATGATGGTGATGGGAATTAGAATGGGGGTGGAGAAGGGAAGGCATTGGGGTGGAAGAGAAGTCACCCCATGCTGCCATTTCACCCATAAAATTTTAGTTCACTTGGTGTAATTCAAGATTATTTTCTTTAAATCAACACTGCACTGCATTATATATTGTCAGTATGTAAAATATATTTCAAAATGACCAAAAACTTGACTGGAAACACAGAAAAAAAGAGTATGTTGAAGAGTCTCAAACAAGATGCTCCTTCCTCTGAACTGGTAAACAAACTGACGCCAAGCTTGGTGTGTCAGTGGCTGTTTGGCATGCAAAAAACTAGCTTCCAGTACTTCAATTATGTTTAATAATTGTTAAAATTACTAAAAAATTAATATAAAACTTTTAAAATTATTGAATAGTACAACCTTCTTGATATTTACTAAAATGGTAAGGAATTTAAGCCCTAAAACCGATTACTGTATTGGCGAACTAATACTACAGCTGGTGGGCAGCCAAATGCAGGCGAAAACATGTTGGGAAAAATTCGTAAGGGATTCATTAACCGAGGGATCACTATGTGCGTGTGTGTATATATATATATATATATATATATATATATATATATATATATATATATATATATATATATATATATATATATATATATATATATATATATAGTAAAACCTCGATTAACCGCCCACATATGGGGGGGAAGGGGCCGACAGATAATCCAAAAGGTCGGTTAATAGTACATAAAGTCTACGGAAATAAAACACCTTCTTAAAGTGCCTTTCCCTAACCTACCTCATTTAAGTCCCACTATTCATTTTTGTTCATTTGCCATTCATATTTCATTAACATTTGGTTTAAAACATTAACCACTGTAGTAAATAAATATGAACCAGCAAGGAAACCGTGAATAAAAAAAGGAAAAGTCAAAGAACATATGACATCACGAAAATTGTGACCAAGTTCCAGGTTGCTGATCTGACTTTCTACCTCATTTACACACAATTGCAGGGTCTCAATTGTTTCTCTTACTATTGACAACACAACAAACATATACAGTAGGTATTGTTTTTTACTTTTGATTTTTTTTTTCATTTTTGCAATTCTTTATGGTTCTTTATTATTATTATTATTATTATTATTACATTTTCAACCCCCAGGCCCCGATGTGGGTCAGTGACCTGTGCCCGGGTGGGCTAATCCCCTTAAAAAAAATAAATAAATTATGTTAGGGGTCCGGGATCGGCGGCTAATCCGAAAGTTGGAAAAAAAAAAATAATAATATATATATATATATATATATATATATATATATATATATTTTTTTTTTTTAACAGTGAATTTAAGGTAAATATAAAATACACTTTGTCTGACTAATTTGATGTTATTATAGGACTTATTGTTAACAAATATATAAATATGTACACAATCTTGCTACAAACTATTTCGCTGTCTTTTGTAACAAGATACAATAGGAATCTTTACACAGCATGGAATTGTTAGCTTGATGGGGGCAACCCTGCCTTGGCTTGTGCTTTATGGGACTTAACCAGCACGGCCCATTTTCTAAGTGTAAGATTTACTAGGTCAAAGAATCCAGGACTCACTGTACCTGGAATGAATGCCTTATTTTGAATATTTGTCAGTACAAGACAAGGGATAGTACAGTGTAGCCCCAGTCTTCTAGACTGTGTAGCCAGCTGGTGTCTTTTATTGTAGACTTCTCTGCGAAAGGTAAAAAAATATTTTGAAGTGACTGATTCTGATGGACTGACCCATGTCATAATACTAACACATGGGGCATCAGTCTCACATGCCAGTAGTCTGCCCCCAAACACATCACAGATATAATCTCTTGTCTCCATTGCTACCTCAGTTACTTACCGAAAGGTGTTGCATTACTTATCAAAGTACTGTTAACATTCATTAGTGTCCACAAAAAAAAAAAAAAGCACAAGCCTTAAACATTTGTGGTGTTTACTTTCAGTACTTAATGACCTGTGTAATACTGAGTGTGCAAGCTTGGAGCATGTACAGTTTGTATTTACTGAAAAATACAGAAATGATAATGGCTGAGCACCAATAATCCCTAACAATGATTGTGGACCCAGCCTTCCTAGCCTCCCACTGCCATTCTGCCCTGACTAGATGATGTATAGTATAGTTCCTCAAGGGGAAACTGCATCACTCACCTATTTCCCACCTGAATATTCTAATGAGTTAACATATTTCTCTTATTTTATATTATCACAAATCAGGCATAGCTTTAAAAGCAAGAATTGCAATTATGAAACATGACCCAGTCTAATTTAAGTCAAGAAGTGTTATTGAACACATTATCATGCAGGCCTGGGTCATATGGAGTCACATCACTCTGCTCCTATAAAGACATGCCCTCCAGACCATGTAGAGCATTGTGAGGTACAGAACATCTTTATACATCCCAAGTCTGCATGAAATTGTGGTAGAACATGAAGTTTGTATACAAGGAATTAGCAAACATCTAATAAATATAAACAAAAAGCTGCACAATTTGTGACTGTGCCAACCAGGCACTGGCCAAACGACAGCGACTGGATACATCAACTGAAATACACTAGTAATTCACATGCTATGGCTCGTTGGAATGCTCAATACACTAGGCACTTTTAGCTTGGACTCCTAAGAGGTAATTTTTAATTTTATGGAGAAAAATTATATATATATATATATATATATATATATATATATATATATATATATATATATATATATATATATATATATATATATATATATATATATATATATATATATATATATATATATATATATATATATATATATATATATATATATACTGTACAGTATATAGAAACTAGTCTTCATAAGAGGGGACTTCTGTATATAATCTAGCCTTGTAAAAATATGTCTGGAAAACATGTTTTTGACTAACCAGACAGAGATGTATACAGTAAGTTTGAATGTTGTTAGAAGATTCATTATATTTCACATTCCTTTAAATTTTTGGATTATAATTTTAATCAAATGAACAACTATAAAGAATTGATTAAGGTGGAAATAGATATTTTGAGCAACTGCGTACAACCTACTGAAGTCTACTTGGAAACGAGCATAGCAGCAACTAGAAATACTAGACTATTGTTATGACTTATCATCACTCTTTCACCTTGGTAAAGTCATACCTTGCTTATACTATAGTTTACATACTGATAACAATATATGAATAATCATACATTATAGCACTGCTAAGAATTTATAAAATCATTTTAATTATAAAATGGATCCTCAAGTGAATTACCAATTTATGACTGGTCATAACTAAGTAAAAGAACTAAAATCTACAAGAGAACTTTTTAGTTCCCAAAAACTAAATATAAAATCCCATCTTTTCTTTACCACACCATACATGTGTTCTCTCTCTCTCCCCACAATCATGGTTTACTGTTCATAAAATTATAATTAAAAAAAAGCAGCTTTAAATGCATTACAGTATGAATGTTGTATAAGCAAGGGTTGACTGTCACTGTGTCCGATGGCCCATAAATAGCAATGTTAAAAAGAACCCAATTACATTATATAAGTCACCTAACCCTTGCAATACCGACATTTGAAATAAATTTAGTTGCCAATTACTTATAATTATGGAAAATTATTTAAAAGTATTTTCATGTTTTGTCAAGACGAAATTGGCCTCTTAATTCCTCATTGATAGAAAACAACAAAGCCCAGTGTTTATTATAATGAGAACAATGTAATAACTGCACTCTTACACAAATTTAGTGACTGGCAATATTAAATGCAGTACTGTATTATAGAAAAGCTTTATACCTACTGCAGAAATAGAATATGCAAGAAGTATATTTTACTGCTCGTCTCTTTATAAATAAGAAGAATTGAATTATTCTCTTCAACCAGTGTCTTGGTGTTTCTCCTTCAAAAACATTTGCTTTTGAATGGGTTTAGTAGTTTAATAAAATTTATTTTCTAAAAAATTGTCTTTACATGATTGACAGGATCACCTGTACAGGAGGGCAGTGACTGTCATCCTGCAAGATTTACTCCTGAGCTTGAGAGTCACTTACATACCCACACAAAAGTCCTAAAAAATACTATTTCATGAGATAAAGATTGTGAAATAAAGGAATTCCCCTGCAGTTATGGAAACACTGGGCACTGTGACAGAGCTCTAAGGTAGCAAAACTTTCTTTGGCAGTGTTACAAATTGATTTCTCTTATCATTTTAAACTTTCAGCTGTAATCTAAAAGATTATAAATGGGTTCAGTACAATAGGTAAGCAAATACAGGTATGTATAAAAAAAAACCATAATATAATAAAAAAGTAAAATACTAGGATATCTTGCAGCCATAACAAAGCTTAGATACATGAGGGCTCCTAAGTGGCCAGGTAACATATCTACTACACGGCTGAGGGGCTGGGTCTAGGAGTGGTGCTGCTCATAAGAGAAAGAGAATGTTTGACGGTTGGAGAGTCTTGGAGGTGGCGTGGGCGGGTGGTCATTGGGGTCGGTTGGAGTGTCGTTCATGCTACTTCCTGGTAGCCCTGCGAAGAAAACTAAGATGTAAAAAATTTAGCCAATTCTGTTTTTTTACCTAAAGTACAGTTTCCTGCAAATAATAAAGATGATGAATACTTAATCTCAGAGTACGAACAGTCAGTACTGGTGCTCAAATCTCTAGATAACGTACCCAGATCCTTAACTAGCATGTACAGTGGTTCCTTGGTTAACGAAATTTCGGTTAACGAATTACCTTCCATAAGAATCTTCAATTTGGTGAACGAACAAAAATTCGATTAACGAAATCCTTAGAACATCACGTTTTGTTGTGAGCATCAGCTGATGGGCTAGTTGCCAATTCAGTAAACTGTTCTATGTTTCTCAGTAACATAGACTATCTTTATAAACATGCTAGTTTTCAGTTTCCAGAGAAAAGGCATTTTATCGTGTATTGGCCTGTTACCCACTGTTTGAGCATGAGGTAAAAAATTGATTTTGTTCAAATTTCATACAAAGTTACAGTACTCCTTTACATGGTGGTTAAGGATCCGGGTTCAAAATCTAGAAATTCCAGTAAATTCATTAATTAATTACCCTTGAAATAATTAAATCCATCATAAGATTGACAAATTATACTGTACCCAAATTAGATTATATAATTATGTTAAGTTATGTTTTCTATGAAACTATTCATTTATACAAAATAAAATGTGTTGATGGTCTATATGAATGTGTATGGACAGTCATAAATCCCCCCCCTCTCTATTTGGTTGTAATGTTGAGAATATATCTATTTGAACCTATTATAATGACCTCCTTTAGAGCTGTTTCTTATAGTGCTCTGGTTTTCAGAAATGCATCTAAAATGGTATAAGAGGTGTGCTTATACATCTGCACATTCTAGTGTCAAAGGGAATTAAATTATATACTAACAACATCTGGTAAAGAATTTTGCACAAAACATTAAGTCTTCATGTGAAGGAGTTGTTTTAAAGCAAAGCACTGTACAATATGTAGCATTAATTATAATTTAAGAGAAGTGTGTCAGAAAACGTAGAAAAAATTTGTGTAAGTCTTGAAAAATTAAATGAATGTGTTGTATGCATTTTACCTGTTTGAGGTCCATTAGTGTGTCTTCGTGCGAGGGGAGTAGGTGAGGACAGGTCCACTGAGTTGTTGCGACGGTGCGGAGGTGGATCCAACTGGTACTGTTGAGGGGGCGGTGGAGGAGCTAACAATGATGGAGGGGTTTGCCGATGATGGTGTGTGTGATGGTGATGAGAGGGTGGATGGTGAAGACTACCAGAATGTAAAGGATGTCCTATTGGTGCATGATGATGATGTGTGGGACCATGTTGCAGCCCCCCTGAAGAATGCATACGGGGCAGCGTGGCTGTACGTGGTGGAATAGGAGGCGGGGAAACATCCCGTGGGGGTAATTCAGGAGCATCTGGTGCCTGTTTCACCTGCAGAATGAGAGAAAAAAAATAATAAATATAAAATAAAATAAAATAATATATATATATATATATATATATATATATATATATATATATATATATATATATATATATATATATATATATATATATATATATATATATATATATATATATATATATATATATATATAAACTTTAAAATGCACACACACATTCTCCTTCATTTGCTGTCATTCATTTATTCTTGTCACTGAAACAGATGTATTCAAGTAGGGTGTTTCCCTCACATAACAAGGCCCCAACACCCATCAGTTATAGAGCCTTCCAAAAACTAACTCATCATCATCATCATCATTTATGGTCTCTTTCACCCCATCCTTCCATCTCCTCTTCCACCTACCAACTTCCTCTCAGTTATATATTGTATATTATTATTATTTCAACAGTCATAAATTAACACTAATTACTCAAATTTTTTTTTTTTTTTTACCTAAATTATGAATCAGTAAGTTGAACCTTTGTAAGAAATGTGAACAAAACTTAACTTTTGACCATTTTATTGATATACCTACAAGGTCATAGGTAAGATTATTTTTTTAAAGGTTAACATGACTTTATTTGGAAGGCAAAATATTTATGTGTTTCATGGTAAAAGGCATAAAAAAAATGTGATAAAAAACTTACATGGATAGTGTACAGGTAATTAACATTTTCATTATTCTAAATACAGTACCTGTACTGTACATCATCTTTTATCAATACAGTAAACCCTCGATAACTCGGCATCCGATAACTCGGAATCTCATATAACTCAACGTGGCTACGGTCTCGGAATGTATTGTAGTATAACTCGGGAAATACCGAGATATATAAAATTATCTGGGGAAAATCTGTCTCACCTACTATGATACTTCATTCTTCATCTACAGTGTTGGTAAGTGTTACCTTTTTACATTTAGTAATTACATGTACACATACAGTATGTGGGTCGATAATTTTTTATTGTTGTATTTTTGTAGAAGAGGAAAGAGCCTCGATAAGTCAGAATTTGGGATAACTCAGCCAGGCCAGAGCCCTTTATGAGTCGAGTTATTGAGGGTTAACTATACTACAGTATTTAATTTTACCTTCTCTCCACATGTTTATATCACCTCAGCACACTGGTTGTGATTTTATCCAATACATCTTTCTGTACTTGTTGTTTTCTATAGCCCAAATATTGCTTTTATACAAGTCAGTACAGCAATACACAAGTCAGTACAGCAATACACAAGTCAGTACAGCAATACACAAGTCAGTACAGTAATACACAAGTCAGTACAGCAATACACAAGTCAATACAGTAATATCATTTCAAATTTGCTTTCACCTCTTGTATCCATGTTTCACATCACAATAATGTCAACTCAAAAAACAATTGGGCCTGACTTTCATGGCCAATAACTCATTGGTAGCTGTACAGTATTTCACAATTATTAGTACAAATATAGGTAATACTATCTAGTGGGTACAGTAGTTATATGACCTATATCAAAACTCTCCTATGACAAAAATAAAGGTTTACCTTGGGTGACGTGTCCCCAATAGAGGGTTCTCTTTTGCGTACTCTTGGTGGTAGTGGAGGTGGAGGAGCCTGTGGAGATGCTGGTGGCGGTGGTGGTGCTTGAGGCGGCAGGAAGTTGCTGGGAAACCCACTGATGATCCCTCGGAACTCAGTCGCACTTGATAATACATCTGAAAAAAAAAAAAAAATAAATCAATGTTGAACACTGAATGTTGTTGTACCACAAGAACACAATTATCTATACTGTATTGTACTTAATAATTAGGGATGCACCGATTAATCGGTATCGGTAAGCAGATAGTATCGGTAATACTGTACAGCTCCAATATAAAGCATATTCTTGCAATCCTGTTTGAACCAATATTTACAATAACAATCTCTAGAGTAAGGATATTTAGACTTTTCCTCCTTTAAGACCAGATTAAAGATTATACTTCAGACTGGAATAAGTATACACTGAGTGTAAGGGGTATCAGCCCATTAATCAGTATCGGTAAACATGGTTATCAGTGAAAAGTAAAGGTCCTGGTACAGCCATGTTATCCTGTTTAAATATAGAAGGTATTGTAGTGCTCAGTATTAGGGAAAGTTATTATCATTCCAACCTTTTGACCACCCAGACCCTTTATGTGTGTGTTGAGGAATACCTACACAGTACAGTACAGTACAGTACAGTACAGTACAGTACAGTACAGTACAGTACAGTACAGTACAGTACAGTACAGTACAGTTCAGTTCAGTACAGTATTGAGATATTTAAGTAAAAAATTAAATTGAATATAATGTCCAAAAAGGTGATTTTATGGAGCAAAAACACATTTTCTCTCTTAGTGGGAAATTAGCATAATTGATTACTTAAGTGTATTGTATACACAGAATAACAGAAAAACAAAGCAAAAATAAGCTCTGAAAGATTAGGATTGCAAATGGTATTTACAGGTAATTTTTCCAAGACACTAGGATAACCAGTACCCAAATTCAAACTTTTTGGCCCCAGGAAGTGGATGTAGACACAGATGCCAAGGCCTGATGCCTTCCTCCAGAATAACATTAAAGAACATGAGTAACAAACAAGTGATTGCTAGCAGTACAATACTTCCTTCACCTTGCAATGGTCCCTCAACACACTAAAGTCAAACCCTCATCAAATATACTCCAACAATTCCTTAAGGACATACAACAATGGTTCAACCTAACTGCCATAACAGCCTCCCCATCACATCCACCAGCAGGTTACACAAACATTAATGTAAAAATGCAGAGAGACAAAAAATCTATCACTTCCACTCATAGTAAAATAACTTTCATTCAGCACCACAAGATCAATACTGTTTCTTTATTGGTACTTTGCATTGTGTCAACCCAGTGCCAGAATTAGACCTGTGGAGGCCCATGGGCAGCCTCTTTGTGGAGGCCCCCCTCATTATAACTACCCAAGAGGGTGGGGTGGCGAGTGAAGCGAGCCTAAACATCTGGGAGTTCCGGGGGGCGCTGTAAGCCCCCCGGGAAAATACTACACTACCTAACCCCCTCCAACTGACTGTCAACAAACACAGTGCCCTGATGGCATTCGTAATGTAAGTGATAATGAAAAAAATATTTTATTTATCTTTTTTTTATCTCAATTTCATTATTTCGTTTTTAATCAATGTATGTTTGTGGAATTCTAAATATATTATTAGCAACACAAACAATAGCATTCATTAAAAATATACGATTCATAGGAAAACCAGGTACCAGGTATTCATGAATTTCAAGGAGTAGCTAGCCTAATTTCTATCACGCTTCTTGCTGAACATAGTTTTACGTGATGGAATAGATAAACATGAATTTTAAAGAATGAAAATAAAAATAATCCAAATGAATAAACAAGTAAATCAAATACCGTATTGTAATATAAGAACATAAGGAAGTGGGATACTGCAGGAGGCCGACTGGCCCATACAGGGCAGATCCCTTTCACACCCATCCCAGCACTTCCATGTGCCTATCCAACTTCGTCTTGAAGCTCCCTAGCGTCCCCGATCCTACTATAGCACTCGGTAGCCTATTCCACATATCCACAACTCTATTACCAAACCAGTGCTTGCCTATATCCTTTCTGAATCGGAATTTATCTAATTTAAAGCCATTTGTTCTAGTTATTTTGTTATTACTGAGCTTCAGGCCCCCAGATTGTGGAGGCCCCTGGGCAGCTGCCCACTTTGCCCACTCCTGAATCCGGCCGTGTCAACCTCAATCCTCCAATAAGAAACAAACACCCAGAGGGATACACTCACAACCATGACACTAGTACAGTATATGAAACCACTGCTGAATTACAAAGATAAAGCATAAAGCAAGTTCCATGATTTATTACCTATTCATTTTCTGTTTAACTCTTACAGTATACTAGACCAGTGAAAAATGTTCACTTAATCCCCTGACTACTGGACATAACTTTTAATGTTTTATTTGGCTAATGTTGGATGATTTTATTCAGCAGAGAGAGGAAACGGTTACCCGGTAATGTCGAAAAATTAAAAGAATGGGAATGAGTACAACTGAAGACAAAATTAACTTACTGCCAGTGCCAATCTCTACAGGTGCAAAGATGGCATTGTCGGCTGTGTGTGGTGCATGTGACTGTTGTGACGTTGGAGTGCAGGGGGAGGTGGGAGTGGGAGGCGTCAACATTTGTGGAGGAGTGTCTTCCCCATCTCCCTCCACAGGTTTAGATCCTCCTCTCTCAGACTGCTGGAACAAAATTGGTAGAGGAGGAACCATTCCCTTGTTGCGGGTTTTGATGCCCGGGGACTTGAGGATGATGTTGGGCCATTTGCGATCCTGAAGAAACAAGTGACATTGTTAAGACTATTAAGAAACATGTACTGTAATACCACTCCAGAATATCAAAGTTAATGACTCAACAATAATACTCACAACATAAACACAAAGTCAACAAATTAGTTGTGGATGGAGAGAATTAAAATGTACAGTACTGTATATTGAAATCTACATTTACGCATTAAAATTCTTTTATCATGGAATTCATTTGTGATAGACCAAGAGTGTGGTTGAGAAGACCTTGACAGAGACTGAGGTTAAGTTCTATTGGATCTTGTTCTCCATCAAAATTAACTTCTCATGGTAAAAATAGCGATGTGTTCTTAGACTCCCAAATCCACTCACTACTGTACAGTATACCACTTCCCCTCACCCCAACTTTCGTCAATACAGAAATAAATGTTTGTTAACCTTAAAGATGATTATCCCACTCCTCTACATGTCACATAAGGAGTCTTCATGTCTCTTTAGCACCCAACTGGAGTAATCTTCACCTTACTTCTGTCAAGCTGCAGCAGTTATTGGTTTAGTCTTTGTGACCAACACATCTGTACCACAATTCTTCTTCTTAAATGAGATTATGGTCTCACCAGCAAGACTCCTAATAAGATCCCCATCATCTTCTATTAAAATTTTGTATTAAATCAGAGGAACTTAATCAGATCTCACTATTGTTATGTGTGTTGTTTTAAATTAACTAAAATAATAAAGTGTTAACATTACCTAGTCACACACACTCTACCTTCATTCATAATACTGTACACACACTCTATCGTCATTCATAATACTGTACACACACTCTACCTTCATTCATTATACTGTACACACACTCTATCGTCATTCATAATACTGTACACACACTCTACCTTCATTCATAATACTGTACACACACTCTACCTTCACATTCATAATACTGTACACACACTCTACCTTCACATTCATAATACCTGAAGATTAACCATCTCAACACTGTACCCCCCCCCCCAGGTAGTACGAGGATGCTTAATCATCGGGTGAAAAAAGCTGGGGGGGGGGGAGGCTAATCTTCAAGTGATCCAAAAACCGCGCCAACTTTTCACCTGACATGACTGAAGATAAGATTGAGTACTGTACACTGACGCCTACACGAGACCCTCCCTGCCTTAGATACTGTACCCGCACCCCAACCACTCATGAGGTCTAACAGAAACTATAATGTATTTGATGCGTGAGAGCTAATGTATGAATCTGTGTACATACATACATATATGAGAGGAACAGGAGGAGGGACACACCAAGTGGAGATGGAGGGAGGATATGGAGAGGGACAGATAAAGAGACTTTAGGGAACATGGGAGAGATGAAGGTAAGACATGGAAGAAAACTAAACGAGATGGAGGGAAGGAGAGTGAAAATCTGGAAGAGAAGAAAAGGTGGAGAAAGAGGGTAGAGAAAAGGAGATTGGACATAGAGAGTGAAGAGAAGGAAAGATGGAAGGAGGGAGGTAGGGCTGGAGGCAGCAGGAGGTGGGCGTGCGTGTGTGTGTGTGTGTTGGTGCAGGGTGTGTGGGTGTGGAGCGGCGGTTGTGATTGGCCCAGCGGCTGCCGATCCCCTCCCGGCCGGCCACTCAGCGACGCGGGGCGCCTGGACTGCAGCCACCCAGCGTCGACCTCCCCTCACAACCCCGCTATTCTACCTCACCCTCATCATGACAGATACTTCCAAACACACCATCCCAGAAAGCTAACCTTAAGTCAGCTAGAGGGTAAGAGTAAGTAAGAGTGAGAGGAATGAGGCAGGATATATGGCGGTGTTAGCGTGTGTGTGTGTGGCAGCCAAGGGGACACGTGAGCCCGGCCAGCCAGGTGCAGACAACGAGTCTAAAAATAGATTTCCAGCTTTCACCTTTAACAGTCTGAGTACTTAACGTAGTGTAGGAGGAGTCAGAACCTGCCAGGGAGCCTTCGTCTTCTTTCACCGATAACACACACACACACGATAGCCTTTAGTACATGACAAAAATCTGTGCCATTAACTCTCTCCACTCAATGCACCTTTAAAACTGACTATAAACACAAAACAGTGAACATTCATATGTACAACATCTACCACAACCTGAACAACATCTACCACAACCTGAATAACATCTACCACAACCTGAACAACATCTACCACAACCTGAACAACATCTACCACAACCTGAACATCTACCACAACCTGAACAACATCTACCACAACCTGAACAACATCTACCACAACCTGAACATCTACCACAACCTGAACAACATCTACCACAACCTGAACAACATCTACCACAACCTGAGCAACATCTACCACAACCTGAAAAAATACCACCTACAACCTGAACAACATCTACCACAACTGAACAACATCTACCACAACCTGAACAACATCTACCACAACCTGAACAACATCTACCACAACCTGAGCAACATCTACCACAACCTGAACAACATCTACCACAACCTGAACAACATCTACTACAACCTTGAACAACATCTACCACAACCTGAACATCTACCACAACCTGAACATCTACCACAACCTGAGCAACATCTACCACAACCTGAGCAACATCTACCACAACCTGAGCAACATCTACCACAACCTGAACAACATCTACCACAACCTGAGCAACATCTACCACAACCTAAACAACAACATCTACCCAACCTGAACAACATCTACCACAACCCGAACAACATCTACCACAACCTGAGCAACATCTACCACAACCTGAACAACATCTACCACAACCTGAACATCTACCACAACCTGAACAACATCTACCACAACCTGAACAACATCTACCACAACCTGACATCTACCACAACCTGAACAAAATCACCACAACCTGAACATCTACCACAACCTGAACAACATCGCACACACCCTGAACAACATCTACCACAACCTAAACATCTACCACAACCTGAACAACATCTACACAACCTGAGCAACATCTACCACAACCTGAACAACATCTACCACAACCTGAACAACATCTACCACAACCTGAGCAACATCTACCACAACCTGAACATCTAACACAACCTGAACATCTACCCCTGAACAACATCTACCAACAGACAACATCTACCACAACCAGGCAGCATCTACCACAACCTGAACATCACACACAGCACAGACATCACCTGGCTGAACAATACAACCAAAATGCAATTCTCTATATGCAGGATGGTGGCAGGGAGGTTGGTGGTGGCAGGGGAGGGAGGTTGAGTGTGGTGGCAGGAGGCAGGATGGTGTGGGGAGGAGGTTAGTGGTGGCAGGGGAGGCAGGATGGTGGTGGGGAGGTTAGTGGTGGCAGGGGGAGGTTAGTGGTGGCGGGGAGGTTGAGTGGTGGCAGGGAGGTTGGTGGTGTGGCAGAGGTGAGGTGGTGGCGGGGAGGTTGAGTGGTGGCAGGAGGTTGGAATGTGGGTGGCAGGGGAGGCAGGATGGTGGCAGGAGGTAGAAATGAGGTGGCAGGAGGCAGGATGGTGGCAGGGGTTTGCCAACAGTAGGGACCGCCAAGAACAAGTGAGCGGCTCATTCACAAAACAGATTCATTGGAGAAGCGTAGGCGGGGTCTGTGTGTGTGTGTGTGTGTGTGTGTGTGTGTGTGTGTGTGTGTTGCATGCATGTGTGTGTGTTGCATGCATGTGTGTGTGTGTGTGTGTGTTGCATGCATGTGTGTGTGTGTGTTTGCATGCATGTGTGTGTGTGTGTGTTGCATGCATGTGTGGTCTGTGTGTGTGTGTGTGTGTTATGTGTGTGTGTGTGTGTGTGTGTCTGTGTGTTATGTGTGTGTGTGTGCTGCATGTGTGTGTGCATGTGTGTGTGTGTGTGTGTTGATACATGTGTGTGGTCTGTGTGTGTGTGGTGTGTATGTGTGTTTGTGTGTGTGTGTGTCTGTGTGTGTGTGTGTGTGTGTGTGTGTGTGTGTGTGTTATGTGTGTTTGTGTGTGTGTGTGTGGAGACCCGTGACCTTGGCACCCATTGATCCACCCCTTTGCCTTCCCTCCTCCCTCCACAGCTGCCTTCCTTCCTCCCTCCACCCAGCAGCTGCCTTCCTTCCCCCTCCCTCCACCCCAGCTGCCTTCCTTCCCTCCTCCACCCAGCTGCCTTCCTTCCCTCTCCCTCCACCCAGCAGCTGCCTTCCCTTCCCCTCCTCCCACCCAGCTGCCCTTCCTTCCTCCCTCACCCAGCTGCCTTCCTTCCTCCCCTCCACCCCAGCAGCTGCCTTCCTTTCCTCCTCCACCCCTTGTGCCTTCCTTCCTCCCTCCACCCAGCAGCTGCCTTCTTCCCTCCCTCCACCCAGCAGCTGCCTTCTTCCCTCCCTCCCACCCAGCTGCCTTCCTTTCCTCCCTCACCCAGCTGCCTTCCTTCCCTCCTCCACCTGGCAGCGCCTTCCTTCCCTCCCTCCACCCAGCATGCCTTCCTTCCCCTCCCCTCCACCCCAGCAGCTGCCTTCCTTCCCCCTCCTCCACCTTGTATCTTCCTTCCCTCCCTCCACCCAGCTGCCTTCCTTTCCTCCCTCCACCCAGCTGTCCCTTCCCCCTCCACCCAGCTGCTTCCTTTCCTCCCTCTTCCAGCTGCCTTCTTCCCTCCTCACCCAGCACCTTCCTTTCCTCCCTCCACCCAGCTGCCTTCCTTTCCTCCCTCCACCCAGCTGCCTTCCTTTCCTCCTCCACCCAGCTGCCTTCCTTTCTCCCTCCACCCAGCAGCTGCCTTCCCTCCTCCCTCCACCAGCTGCTTCCTTCCCTCCCTCCACCCAGCTGCCTTCCTTTCCTCCCTCCACCCTTGCCTTCCTTTCCTCCCTCCACCAGCAGCTGCCTTCCTTCCTCCCTCACCCAGCAGCTGCCTTCCTTTCCTCCCTCCCACCTTGCTTCTTCCCTTTTCCCTCCCCTCCCACCCAGCTGCCTTCCTTTCTCCCTCCACCCAGCAGCTGCCTTCCTCCCTCCCTCCCACCCAGTGCCTTCCTTCCCTCCCTCCACCCTTGCCTTCCTTTCCTCCCTCACCCAGCTGCCTTCTTTCTCCCTCCACCCAGCAGCTGCCTTCCTTCCCTCCCTCCCACCCATTTTCCTTCCCTCCTCCCTCCACCCAGGCTGCTTCCTTCCTCCCTCCCCTTCCTTCCTTCCTCCTCCACCCAGCAGCTGCCTTCCTTTCCTCCCTCCACCCTTAGCTGCCTTCCCTTTTCCTCCCTCCACCCAGCAGCTGCCTTTCCCTCCTCCTCCACCCAGCTGCCTTCCTCCCTCCACCCAGCAGCTGCCTTCCTTCCCTCCCTCACCCAGGTGCCCCCTTCTCCCTCCACCCAGCAGCTGCCTTCCTCCTCCCCTCCACCCAGCCCTTCCTCTCCCTCCACCCAGCTGCCTTCCCCTCCCTCACCCAGCAGCTGCCTTCCTTTCCTCCCTCACCCCAGCTGCCTTTCCTCCCCTCCACCCTTGTGCCTTCCCTCCCTCCTCCCACCCAGCTGCCTTCCTTCCCTCCCTCCACCCAGCAGCCCTTCCTTCCCTCCCTCCCACCCAGCTGCCTTCCTTTCCTCCCTCCCACCCAGCTGCCCTTTCCTCCTCCACCAGCAGCTGCCTTCCCTCTCCTCCACCAGAGTGCCTTCCCTCCTCCCTCCACCCAGCTGCCTTCCCTCCCTCCCTCTGCAGCTGCCTTCCTTCCCTCCCTCCACCCAGCTGCCTTCCTTTCTCCCTCCACCCAGCAGCTGCCTTCCTCTCCCTCCACCCAGCAGCTGCCTTCCTTCCTCCTCACCCCAGCTGCCTTCCTTCCTCCCTCCCACCCAGCAGCTGCCTTCCTTTCCCTCCTCCACCTTGCCCTCCCTCCCTCCACAGCAGCTGCCTTCCCTTTCCCTCCTCCCACCCAGCATGCCCTTCCTTCCTCCCTCCACCCAGCAGCTGCCTTCTTCCTCCCTCCACCCAGGTGCCTTCCTTCCTCCCTCACCCAGCAGCTGCCTTCCTTTCCTCCCTCACCCAGCAGCTGCCTTCCTTCCCTCCCTCCACCCAGCAGCTGCCTTCCCTCCTCCACCCAGCAGCTGCCTTCCTTTCCTCCCTCCACCCAGCAGCTGCCTTCCTTTCTCCTCCCTCCACCCAGCTGCCTTTCCTTCCTCCTCCACCCAGGCTGCCTTCCTTCTCCCTCCACCCAGCTGCTCTTCCTTCCCTCCCTCCACCCAGCAGCGCCTTTCCTTTCCTCCCTCCACCCAGCAGCTGCCTTCTTTTCCTCCCTCCACCCAGCAGCTGCCTTCCTTTCCCTCCCTCCACCCAGCTGCCTTCCTTCCCTCCTTCTACCCAGTTGTTAGTCCTAAGCTTAACTCACAACCATCTGTCAGCAAAAAGCTTAACTGGCAACCATTTTATCTTTGACTCCTAAGCTTCTTACAACCATCCGTGATTTAAAAGCTTAAAACACAACAATCTATTAGTCAAAGTTTAAATCAGAGCAGCAGTTTGAATGAGTGGTGTAGCACATCTGGAGAGAGTAACCAGGTGTGTGGGGGCAGGTAACCAGTTGTGAGTGGGGGAGGTAACCATGTGTGTGTGTGTGAGGGGGGAGGTAACCAGGTGTGTGTGTGTGTGTGTGTGGGGGAGGTAACCAGGCGTGTGTGTGTGTGTGGGGAGGTAACCAGGTGTGTGTGTGTGGGGAGGTAACCAGGTGTGTGTGTGTGGGGAGGTAACCAGGTGTGTGTGTGGGGGAAGCAGGTGTGTGGGGGAAGCAGGTGTGGTGGTGGAGGTAACCAGGTGTGTGTGTGTGTGTGTGTGTGTGTGTGTGTGTGGGGGGGAAGCAGGTGTGTGGGGAAGCAGGTGTGTGTGGTGGGAGGTAACCAGGTGTGTGTGTGTGTGTGTGTGTGTGTGTGTAGGGGAGGAGGTAACCAGGTGTGTGTGGGTGGGGAGGTAACCAGGTGTGTGTGTGTGTGTGTGAGGGGAGGAGGTAACCAGGTGTGTGTGGGTGGGGAACCAGGTGTGTGTGTGTGGGTGGGAGGTAACCAGGTGTGTGGGTGTGTGTGGGGTGTAAGCAGGTGTGTGGTGGGAGGTAAGCAGGTGTGGTGGGAGGTAAACAGGTGTGTGTGTGGGAGGGGGGAGACTTAACTCACCTTCATTGGCGGTTTTTTGCAGTTCTTGGGCTCAATCTCCCTCGACCTGTTGTACAGATAGTTGGAGATGTCGTTTTCGGTCTCCGTGTCGAAGGGGTGTAGCGTCTCCAGGAAGTGCTGCAACCAGAGACACCATAATTATCCTCACGTCACTACTATGGTTGTTTGGTGATACACTGAATCCTCTATTAAATGGACTATATGAAGAGGAAAATCCATTACATCGAGGGTTCGTTAACCATGAAAACCTCCATCTAATGTACTATATACAGATGGAAGTCATGTTGTATATCGAAGGTTGTAATGGCAGGGAGATTCTTAACCAACAAGGACAAGAGAGTTGAGAGTGTATGGATGCACGTCTTATAGTGATCCCTGGAATCGCCTCTTCTCCTGAACCACGAACCCCTGAGATTCGGACTCGTGAACCCGAAGAAGTAGACATTGATACATTATTCTCTCCATAAATGCTTCAGGGATTCACGAGTTTGAGTCCGGGGTTCGTGGTTCAGAAGGAGAGGCGACGGTCTTTTCTAGGTGATTGTATCAAACCGTAGAGCTGGGACCCAAAGAAGCTGAAACCTTGTTTATCTAAAAACAAAAAAAAGAGAATAATGACTTTTCCGGGACACGTCACACCCAATAAATACAAAAGCTCCGCCATCTTTATTGGTATGATTGAGCCAACGTGACAGTGCAAGCGATCAACAAGGACATCCAGCCCAGCGTGATAACCGCTTTACCACCGCAACAATAATAGACAATCAGTCAGTGAGTAGGCAGATAGGAAATAATAAATAAACATATACTATACAGTATACGGCTATTACAAAACTATAACATGACATTTACAAATATATATAAACATTAAATACTACTACTACTTTGCTGTTACTCGGAATCGAGTATGACGATCATCCAGCTATGATACAATGATATGAGTTATTAGGGATGTCACCTACTGTAGGTTGGTGAGTTTTGAGGTGACTAAAGAGACCGATACGGGACCCGCAGCGTCGTTCACATTTGTTGCACATGTGGAGGGCTCCATCTGCTGCGGAGGGGCGGCAGCGTCTTTCCGGCGTTGGCACTTGTCTGACCGGTTTGCAGTCGGGCTAACTCGAAAGCATTGACACCTTCTCGTGCGGTGCTCCTCCAAGCGTTACGGTGTGGAGTAATCGTCTCCCAGGTGAGGGGGTCGATTTGGCACTTTTTCAGGTTTGTCTTAAGACTATCCTTATACCTTTTCAATTGCCCGCTGGTGTTACGCTTACGATTCGTAGGTGACTGCAAAGTGGCTGCTTTGGCAGTCTACTGTCGTCCATGCGGGTAACATGGTCAGTCCAGCGTAGTTGTTCATGGATAATGGTAGCCTCGATGCTCCTACAGTTGGTGTTAGCAAGAATACTGGCATTTGTTTTCTTGTCTTCCCAGCGAACTCGAGGATGGAACGTACAGTAGACTATGTTGGTGAAAGTTCGCGACTGAGGTGCCTCCGTGTGAGCCATGTCCTACAGCAGGTGGGAGGACTACTGCTCGATATACGAGCAGCTTTGTAGATAATTTCAGCTCCCTACAGCTGAAGACACGATTTCGGAGTCTGCCAAAGGCTTGAGATGCACATCTGATACGATGCTGAATCTCTTCATCGATGTCTGCAGTGGTGGACAGGTGGGAGCCGAGATACCGAAAGTGGGTAACATTAGAGAGGGTAGTACCGTTAATCTGGATGGATGACGGAGGTGTGTCTGAACCAGGGGCAGGTTGAAAGAGAGTCCTAGTCTTCCGTACACTCACGCGCCACCCTCTACCCCTACCACTGGCTCGAGGGAAGTCGTAGTCAGGACTGCAAACCCAACGGATCCTCCTCCCACCCTCTCATCGTTCAGTGGTGTAAGGTGGTAGCTCGAGGCTCCGCTGGATAGAACGAATAGTCCTCCATAATGTCAGTGTGAGAATATACGGGGATGCAGACATTTTAATAAAATAAATTTGAATATGTGGTCAGAATTATACAGGCTGATATCTATATGAAAAACGCATATGTTGAGACTGAAAGTAATTAAAATCCATGCGAAAATCTCGGTCTCACACTTATTTGAGATTTGCAGTGCTTGTCTGCTTTTCACAGGTGCATGATTATTATGCAAATGTGATTAGTCACAGCCAGTATGTTGATACTGGTATCTAGCACATAATAACATAATCAGATGCATGATAATCAGCCTCTCCGACAATTAAGATATCTAAAGATTGGCAAATAGTTCGCGTAAATCAGTTTCGTTATGAGCCGCCGCTGGACCGTTTTCGTGAGGCACAAGTTGTCGTCGAAGCAGCAGGCCTCAAATCTGCACAAGAAGGCAGTGAGTTAAGGTCATTGTTTGTATTACAGACAATGTATTGTTTGCTTTAATATAGTTGTAGTGATATATTTTCGCCTGTAGAAATGTTGCGTAATACAAGACGCTATACGTTTTAACTAGTGCAGCTGCAGTAGGCCGCAACGTGTCTGCTTGACAGTATTTATAATGTTATAGCTAAATTATCCATTCATATCCCTTAAGTAGATAAAGTGTTGTGAGGTCACTAAAAAACCTGTATCGTGCATATATTCTCTCAAATATAACATCATGAACTGCTATTCGTACAATCCAGCGAAGCTTCGAGCTACCACATTGCACCACTGAACGATGGGTGGGGGAGGGACGTTCAGTCTGAAGCCAAAGCTAAGACTTCCATTGAGTCAGGAGTAGCGGTAGAGGGTGCACCGAAACTATGGCGCGTGAGTGTACATTCACCTCAAGGCCGAAGTGTGCATACGCGTCTGTGTAGGTGTTTAGGATCTCCTGTAGGTCGTATTCAGTGTGAGCAACAAGGAGGGTGAGGTCGTCTGTATACTAAAGTTCAGTAGTGGAAGCTGCCAACACCTTTTACTCTTGCCTGGAGTCATCTTATGTTGAAAAGACCTCCCTTTACCCGGAACTTGATGTTAACCCCGCTGGCTAAATTGGCACTGGCACGAGTAAGGAAGGCAGCCAAGAAGATAGAAAAGAGAGTTGGTGCCAGTACACACCTTTGTTTAACCCCCGTTTGGATGGGGAAGAACTCTGACTGGGTGCCGTTGTGCAGGACAATGCTGTTCATGCCATCGTGGAGTTGCCCCACAATGGCGATGAATTTTGGTGGGCAGCTAAAACGGCTGAGGGTCCACCAGAGGGCTTCCCTGTTGACCGCGTCGAAGGCCTTGGTTAGGTTGATGAAAATCATGTACAGGTCAAGATGCTATTCTCTACACTTTTCCTGTATCTGGCGGGCAGCAAAGATCATGTCAGAGGTGCGATGGTCTAATACCGCCTCAGGAAGAAGTCTGTTTAGGAGGACTCGGGCGACAATCTTGCCAGCTACGGAGAGCAGCGAAATCCCACTCTAGCTGCCAGTCTGACCGGTCTCCCTTGTTCTTATAAATATTGAAAATGGAGGCATTTTTAAGAGCTTGGGGGACTTCCTCCTTTACCATATATTCTCCAGGAGAGAGTGAAGCAGAGGTCCTCCTGCTATATACACCTCGGCTGGGATTCCATCAGGCCCTGAGGCTTTGTTATTTTTCATCTGTTTGATGGCAGTAGCTACCTCATCCAGGGATGGAGGATAGCTGAGGTGGGTCAGGTCGGTAACGTTCCTGGACACAGTAGGTCGAGGGTTAGAGTCCTGGCTGGTGAGGTTGTTGATTATATGTTCAAAGTCCGCAAGTTATATGGACTAAAAATTAAGTGTGTGTATGTGTGTGTGTGTGTGTGTATATATGTATGTATATATATATATATATATATATATATATATATATATATATATATATATATATATATATATATATATACAACCCCTTGGTTGTCATTGTGGTACCTGGCACAATGGCACTTTCAGCACTCTTCGGTACATAAACTATCACACACACACACACACACACACAACTAGACCTTCCTGGGGTCGAGAGGCGCCACACAGGAACAAAGTCATTACCTAACATGATGCAATTACCACCTGTTTCCTTGTGCACCCCAGAGCCTACCCCTACACTCCCACCTACTACTTACACTCCCAGCTACACCTCCACTCTCACCTACACCTCCACCCCACCCACACCTCCACTCCCAGCTACACCTCCACTCCCACCTTCCACACCTCCACCTCCACTCCCACCTACTGTACACCTCCACCCCACCTACACCTCCACTCCCCACCTACACCTCCACCCCACCTACACCTACACCTACACCCCACCTACACCTACACTCCCACCTACACCTCCACTCCCACCTACACCTACACCCCACCTACACCCCACTCCCACCTACACCTACACCTCCACCTACACTCCCACCTACACCTCCACTCCCACCTACACCCACTCCCACCTACACCTCCACCCCCACCTACACCCCACTCACCTCCACTCCTACCCACACCCCCGCCCACACCCACCCCCTGCCCACACCACCATCACAGCCACAGCAGGGGTATAACACTGTCTTCTCCCACACTAGCACTACACTACACTCCAACCAGTAACTGTCCTCACTCTATAGTTCCCCTTCTCACCTGTCTACTTGCCACCCCGTGTGTCTCTCTACCTGTGTATGTACCTTGCCACCTGTGTGTCTCTCTGCCACCTGTGTATGTACCTCACCGTGTGTCTCTCGGCCACCTGTGTATGTACCTGGCCACCTCGTGTGTGTCTCTCTCTGGCCACCTGTGTGTGCCTGGCCACCCGTGTGTCTCTCTGCCACCTGTTGTTACCGTGTGTGTGTGTTCACCTGTGTATGTCCTGGTACCTGTGTGTGTTCCACCTGTGTATGTCCTGGCCACCTGTGTCTCTTCTGTGTGTACCTGCACGACGCACCACCACTACCTGACCTACAGTATACTGTTCCCCGTCCTCCAACGTCACCAATACCCCATCAGTATCTAGTGCGTGCACACACACACACACACACACACACACACACACGGGATCGTCATGTATGGGTACTTAGGTATGAAGCATGTAAAGGTACAGTCGCCTGCACTTATATCTGGTACAATGTCTGGCATGTTTTGTGACATGTGGCATCTGTGTG